TTATCCACCCTCTTTTTAAATGATCACGCAAATATTTTTTGTCCAAGATGTCGCTTCGTGTTTTATATCAACTTGATTGATAAATTATCTTACAAAGTAATAACTTAAGTAACAATTTTTAAAAGAACTGTCGAGAAATCCTAGAAATTGGTCTGAAATTAACAGGTAATATTAGGAATGTGGAAATAATTTTATAGCAAGTTTTCTCGAACATTTCATCTAAGCTTCATTAAGATTTGGAATAAGACTTTTTTCGTTTAAAGTCAGAAAGTGTCCATTAAATTTTATTTATTTATTATTTTCAAATTTTGATAATTCTTATTGCTAAATCTTTTTGTTACTTATTAAAATGGTAAACTTGGCTCGCTACTTAAGGTTCCATCAATTTATTTATAAAGACATACAAAACAGCGTATCTTGACCCAGAGTCCAAGTGCAAGACTATGTGGGTCTTGTAAATGATAAATTTTATAATGTCACTGAAGAATTATAATACATACAATTAATACAAGTACAGTAATTTATTATCTAATATCACACTATTTAAAACTAAAAACATCAACTAAGGAGAGTCAGTTAAGAACGTTTTTATTTTAAGGTCAGTAGTCCTTATGTTTTTTATATTAAAATTCAAGTCATTGCTGTGTGATAAAGCATATTACAACCAAGACGAATTCTTCTGTGATTCAGTAATTATACAAAATATTGATTATTAAGAACAAAACTATTAATTGTAAAAAAAATGTATACTTACAAAATGTGTTTAATATGTATTATGTATTTATATACGGAGTGCCCAAAAGTCTGAAAACGGCCAATTATCTCGTAAATCGCTAATCCTAATTGTACAAAATTCGGGGTACACCAATTTTGGAATATTTTCAGACTTTTAGGCTACTCTGTATATAAAATATATATATTTGTACTATGACATGCTCTACAATTCTAAAGGTATTTTTCCAGTAAATAAATATTTCTTTCTTTTTTATTATGCTTGGAAAATCATTGTATTGTCGTCGGTCACCTAAGCATGTTTAGTCAGCTGTAGTTCTGTACCAGAGGTTGACTGCAAACTGAAGGATCACCATATCATGTTTTCTTATACAGTGCTTTTCTAAAGTCCCCTGCCCCCTCTTTTCTTTTGAACTGATGAAATTTGGAGGGTGAAAATGAACTATTGTAAGCTTCTCTATTAGTGGTAACAGGTGACGTAATAGGCATCGGTGACGTCACCAGGCAACTGAAACCAATAATATTAAATGGGACCTTTTTTATTTTTCAAAAATATCGTAAATCCAAAAAAAATAGTATGATTGAATAGGTATTCTAAATACCTTTCAAACGAGGTGTCACTTGATATAAGGTTCCATTTAATATTTTTGGTTTCAGTTGCCTGGTGACGTCACCGATGCCTATTACGTCACCTGTTACCACTAGCAGAGAAGCTTACAATAGTTCATTTTCTCTCTCCAATTTTCATCAGTCTAAGTATCACCGTTCAAAAGAAAAGAGAGGGGGAGGGGACTTTTGAGAAGCACTGTATACACCTTATCATTTTTTGACCATAAGAATTTGTAACCATCATTCTGTTTTTATTTATACCGCCATATTAAACAGGTTCCTATTAGTAGTTGTAAGTTATTATTGGTATTATAAATTGTCAAATTATTTTTGTAACGTTTAAGTTCATTTTGCAATAAAATGTTTTTTTGGATTTGAAAGCAATTTTTTGTTCTTTTTTTTTATTACTTTTTGGACCAATAAATGTTTTTTTACTATTAGGAGAAAATTAAAAAGGTAATAATTTGTATGCCAGTTTCAATTTTGTGAATTAATGCCTTTTATTTAATTACAATTTATCAATTCTTCGATAAAAACCACTTCCACTTTTGAATATTATGAAATTATAGATTTTAAAGGACCTCTTCCAATTTGTTCTAAAAATAATTCTTTCCTCTTTATTTGATGAGTAAGTGCTCTAAATTCCCATATCAAATTTGATTATTCATGAATTAGTTAATCATTTGGTTTGCAAATATTTTCAACACCATGTAAATAGTTCTACTTTTTTTATAAAAATAGCTGTAATTCTAGTATATAGTTAGTTCTTGGGATGGTTTATTTGCAAGAACTGATAGTATTGAGAATGGTACAGTAATATTTTTAAAGTTTTTTCATTTAACTTATTCTGTATCTAAAAAATAACATAGATAACCTAACTTTTAATATTTAAAATAAAATACACATCTGTAAAAAACTTGTTTAATAGGAAACCCACATTAATTAAAAAAAAAAAAAAATTGTTTTTGATAACTAAAATTATGTTTATTCAAACATCCTTTGTTGAAGAAATTACATGAAAATTTATAATTGAAAATACGACCTTATCAAGTACCTAATTTTCGTTTTACATGATGATGATGATGATGATGATGATGATGATGATGACGTTAATCAGACCTGCGCAACGCATTTGGTTATTTCAGGTTAAGCTAGTGAAGGTTTTGCTATGATTTTCATATTTTATGAACCTTTTAAGATGTCTTTGCTAACTGAATTTAAACACGTGTAAAGGGGCCAATTATTATTGGATAAATTGATCAAAAAAGTTTGTAAACACTAATCAAAAGGCGATATAGAATGGTTTTAAAAATCAAGGGTTATGAAAATCTTCAGAAGGTTTAATCTAAGTAATGCCAATGGTCTTAATACTACTATCGCCTTTCGGTCTTTCGTTCCAAGTTAAATCATTTCTTTTTTTTACACTACGTGTTTATCCCCCCAGTCTCGATAAGGTATTGTTAATTTTTTAATTTTTTGTTAACTTTTTGTTAATTTTTTGTTAAATTTTTATTAAATTTTGATTAATTTTTTGTAAATTTTTTGTTATTTTTTTTTTAATTTCTAGTTAATTATTGTTTATCTTTTTGTTCATTTTTATTCATTTTTATTCATTTTTATTCATTTTTGTTTTTTTTTGTTTATTTTTGTTAATTTTAGTTCATTTTTTGTTCATTTGTATTTCTATTTTTCTGTTGAGTAGTGTAATAAAAAAAATGAATATATGTAGGAAATCACTTTATACAGCTCCTAGATATATCCCCGTAATTCGATAACAACATTGATTAAAGTTTCTTTATAGAAACTAACTCGGATACCAATTCGCTTTATCGCCATCCGTTTTCTACTTACTTTCTTTCGCATATACGGCCAATTTCGCCATCCATCCGATTCCTTCAAAGAGTTCTTTTAATTGCAGGTGTCCCTCGTACTGTGGGGGAGGTCTCAGAAAATAATTTCCCTTTTGAAGTCCTTTGCTGCGACTGCGTTCTTTTCTCCCCTCGCAGTCTTTGTTAATGCCACGAAAGTCTACATTATTCATCTTGGTTCCACGTTAATTTCGGTTTTGTATTTTATTTTTCCAGCGTCGGGCTGGCCAGTTGATTTCCTAAGAAAAAAAGAGAGAGATTTTTGTAATTAGGTAAAAAGGCTTGTTTGAATAAGAAAATAAATAAATAAAAAAGTAAGAGTAGTGCTTTAAGTATTTAACACTATAATAATAATAATAATAATAATAGTTTATTCAATTTTTTTTTTCAATTATAATACAAAATTTAAATTTAACTAATAATATTGATATACCTATAACACTGCCCAAGACTAATTTTATTGCCAACAATATCTGAGCGATTTCTAGGTAATTTTCTGGTGCTCATTACTAATATAAGGTCCATTCAGTTGGATTGGCTCTATTTTTGGAGATATATTAGAAAATTATGATAAAATAAAGAAATAAATCACTTTAAGAGACCAATAGTCACTATAAACTTGCTTATGGGGCAGTAAAAATGACAGTGTTGTGGAAAAAGCGAAACGAAAAAACAATAAAATCCGTAATGATTTATTAGGTATTGTAACAAAGAAATTAAATTTAATTTGGAAAATTATATCTAATTCGTAGGGAAGAAGCTGTTTTTATACGATTTTTATGGGGACTGGCAGGAACATAACGTTGGAGGCTCCAGCAATAGTCTACCATCATATGCTTATCCCATCTGCCATGATATCTTTCCTCCATTGCCTTTAAATCCTGGTGAAATCTTTCCCCTTGTTCCTCACTTAAGTCTTCAAGATTGTCCAAGTGACTATGAAGAAAGTGTACTTTAATACTCATATTAGAACCTAAGTTTGTAAAGTTCAATAACATCTGTTGTACCAGTTGCTCGTAATTGTCTGCTTTGTGGATACCCAAGAAGTTCTTAACCACCGAAACAAAGCTACACCAAGCAGCAGCTTCAAGTGTCGTTATGTGATTTGTAAAATTAGAGTCCTTAATAAGTTTGCGAATTTGAGGGCCATCAAAAATACCCGCTTTAAGCTTTTCCTTACCTAGCCTAGGAAACGATCTATATATGTATTTGAAGCACTCGTCATCTTTATTCAAAGCTTTAACAAATTGTTTCATTAGTCCTAAGTTGATGTGGAGAAGTGGGAGAATGATTTTTTCACGGTCAACCAATGGTTCGTTCATGACATTTGCTGTTCCTACAATCATATTTTGTCATATTGGCCAATTAATCCTCTTCCAATAATCTTGCTTCGCCCTACTATCCCACAAGCAGATAAGACTAGAGTGTTTTATGTACCCACCTTGCTGCCCAAGCAAGAAGTTCACCATTCTTAGATCCACACAAATGGAAAACTGATGCTCTTCATATGAGAGTTTCTGCAATACTAACTTATTGTTTTGATATTCTTGTTTAAGTTTTGTTGAGTGGGCGATAGGAATTGAAGCATATCGGTTGCCATTGTGTAGCAAAACACACTTTAAGCTTCTACTGGAACAGTCGCCAGTCACTTGGAAATAATTGAATTCCCATTTGACGAAGAAGTCCGGGAATATTGTTGCAATAAACAAGATCTTCATCTTGACTGAAGTAAGTAACAAGTTAAACCTCTCGTGCTAAATTGTTATTTTTATATCTGTCTGTAGACAGTTTTTATCTTTTAACGGATGCTAGAAGTTGAGATGTTTGCTTTGATAGACCGAGGTCCCGTATCAGGTCATTCAGTTCTTCTTGGGAAAACTGCTGGGGAGTTGATTGTATTCCCTTATATTCACTTTCACTGCTGTTACTGTACTGGTCCTCAATTTCTTCTACTTCTAACATCGAAACATCTGGCAATGTGGTACATACTGGTACGGGAATCTCTTCATTATGTGGCACAGGTCTTCGTGCTGATTCTAAATCAGGATATTCCCATTTGCCTTCCTTGTATCTATTAAAAACCTTTTACATTAACTAAACAAAAATAACAATCGTCGTGGTGGTTTTTGGGTTCTCTCCACACCAAATTTTAAACTTTTTCTCTTTTGGTTTACCCATTGTCGTAAAGATTCGACAAATGTTTTGCACACTATATGGGGACCCAAAGACTTGTCTGATCTCCAAGCACTACGCCGAAATAACCTTGATAAGCTTGCCTAACAAAATCTAAGATATTTTTTCTTTGCTTCTTTACAGTATATTTGCCACAAGTGTAGCAGAAGACATTGGGGTTATTCAAGCAGCTTCTTCGTGAAGAACTCATTCCTCTGAAAAACAAGCGTCACTTTGTTTTTATTAAAATATATACAAATATGCGTCACATGTACCTACCTACCTACCTTATACTGGACGTCTTTTTATATTTAAATAACTTCACTAGGCAGGTAATACGAAATAAATACACAAAATAGGTAAGAAAAGCAAAATAACCGCGGCGCTAAGCCCTTAATATAACTGCTTAAAACAAGTACGAAAAAAATTAACTGGCTCCTGGACTAGTACTGTATCGAAGGAATTATATGAATAAAACAAATTACGACCCTACTTACACATACCACAATAACGGTCGAGTCTAGTTACGCTGTTGTCAGACGTAAATTTTTTTTTGATAATTTAAAGATTTAATAGTATTTCAAGCAAACGTAATTACATTACTACAGTTAAAAACATCGCAAATTTAGCATCATTCGCGTTGAATTTTGTAAATAATTATATCTGTGGAAATAAGTTCCCAAATCTCGCTTTCTTTGGGAACAATTGACCTAATTCGACCCTGTTTTTTCTCTAAACAGAAAGTTTTTCCCTGATTTTCAATTCGGAGTATTTTATATTAATAATGGCCCTTGAATGCTTCACTGCTTATTACTTCCCTTTGTAGGGGTTCTTGGTCTTTCCTTTTAATATACAGTATGTTAATTTTTAATTTGTAATTGGCCTTTTTACTTTTAATATTGATGAGCAAGGGAACTTTTTGCCATATGGACGATTCTCATAGATTTCATGAAATTATTTTTGTTTTCTTTTATTAAATGATTGTTATTTTCTTACTTCATTAAAGATATATTTTAGAGGATGTTGATATATAAAAAAAAATAAATTGGTATTATTAGTCCTATTGATACTAAATAACTCAGTAAATGATCTATTTTAATATTTATTGAACCTTATTTAGGGGAAGACAAAATGAAAGATTTATAGACAAGATAGGTAGATAGGTAAGAATGAAAAAAAGTAAGAATCGCTTTTCTCTGTTTACGTTTATAGTGTTCAGATTATTTATTATATTATCATTACTTTTACTGTAAATAAAATTTATCTTCTGGAAATACGTTTAATTTTTTTATTACATTGACATTAACAGTTAATTTTTGATAATATATCAATAACATAACAACAAAAATCGCATATTTTGATTTTTTTCTGATAATTATTATGTTAGTTTACTAACTACAAATCTTAACATATAGGACTTCCTGTACACTCTGGTATTTATTCTTGTCGTTGAACCGTTCATTTTATGAATCGTTATTGAAACACGTACAAATGTATTCAAATATTTTACAAATTCGGCAGCATTCGCTCGAAAAAGGGAGGCCACCAAGGAAACAAATGCCTCCTGCCTCTCCAAAAACGAAGGGACACGCAAAGAACCGGTAGGGAGAATAAATATAAGGAAGAAAGAGAAAGGACAATGACAGATTCGCGAGCGTTTTAATTAGGATCTTTCTTCATTATATCGGGAGTAACGCGCTGTTTCCAAGTAATGATATCCGTACAGTCGATTCCAAAGTTTCTAATTCTGTTAAAGTTTTTATCTCTCTTCGCGGAATATTCATATTTTGTTCGCAGCACAAATTCCAATTTTCAAACTGGGAGTGAGTTCTGCAAAGCTCTTCGTAAATACAAACACTGACGAACTTTGTGCGAAATTTCGTTCAAAAATAAAAGACGACGAGGAAAACGGGTCATTACTGAACTGGGACTTGAAATAAAAACAATGTTTCCGTGATGAATGGAAACGAAATCATTTTTAAATAAATAAATTATTGCCGCGAGTAACATAATATATAAAAGGTTTTTTAAATCTGCTTTAATAGTAAAAGAGGTAATCCTATAAAGTCTAAATATTATCATTTAACAACGTACTGAGTGCATTAATTTATTCATAATCCCGATTCCAAAAGCTGTATTAAATAGATCGAAACAAGAGAATAAAAATTGGGGGTTAAAGGAGATTGAAATATTTAAAAATAATCTTAACTCAAAAAACGAAAAATGATATGAACTTGAAATTTTTTGCAAACATCAAGCTCTATAAAGAGGAGAATCCCTTTAATTAAAAAAAAAAAAAATCTAAATAAAAATGGAAGGTGTAAGGGGGGTTGAAAAAACAAATCAATGAAAAGCAATATTAACATGAAATTTTTAATAGAAATGAAGCTCCCTGAGAGATTGATTGTGAAAAATGTTTTGAAACCTAAACGAATCCTGTCGGACCATGGAATCCAATTTACCAGTTCTAAATTTATGAATAAAATGGAAAATGAAGGTATTAAAACTATTTATTGTTCGATAAAATATCCAGAAGGAAATCCATCTGAAAGAATTATGAAAGAATTGGGGAAATTATTTAGAACTTTCTGTCATAATAAGCATAATTCATGGGTGTCGTGGGTAACAAAAATAAACAATTGGCTAAATCTCGTTACACATGACTACAGGTTTTACACCCTATGAACTACACACGGAAGAATTCCCAAGATGAAATTAAAAAGATTATTCGCTTTCCAGAAGATATAGATAATCAAAGCCTAGAATACAAAATAGAATTAGCGAAAGACAAGTTAATTTCAAAAGCCGATAAAAGGAAGAGATTTAGAAAAAAATTTAATAAAAGTGGAGGTTAAAGGGGTTATCATAAACAAACAATAATATCAACTGAAATTTTTGGAAAAAATCATATAACGTATTCTTTTCTTTTTGTTTTTTATCGAGTCAGTCAGGAACAAGCTACAGCCAACGGCAGCTCTTGTGTGAGCATGAAATCGTGAGTTTTTAATTCATATAAAGTTATATTTTATTCTTACCTTTGCAAACTATAAGCTTCTGTTTTTTGAGCGCCAGCGAGGTTTTGATTGGACTTCACAAACCAAGGAAAATAATAATGGAAATCTAAGAGTCATTTTTCTTTAAAATAAAACACCTTAATTTGCCGTCAATTATCAATTATGTTATTATTATTTTTTTTTACATCATTTGTTTGTTTTAATATACTAGAATGAATGAAAAACAAGTGTTTTTCATAAGCAAGTAATTATACAGGCTGTTTCCGAACTTGGCGTCTAAATTTGTAGGGGTGGTAGATCGCATAATTTGAGACCGATTCGCAGATTTCATTTTTCCAAAATATTTAAAATAAAAATAATTAAAAATTATAAACAGGTACGGTTCTGCACATCGATGGGAACGACTCGACTCGCGCGCGCTACGCTTAGAATCGACAAAATTGCAAATCGCATCTGTTTTTGAGGACTATTGCGCTACGCGCTCAGAGTAGGACCTGCTCTTTGATTTTTTTTAAATGGCTCTATTTTGTTTATTATAATTTTTTTAGAAAAATGAAATCTGCCAATCGCTCTCAAATTATGCGAACTACCACCCCTACAAATTTAGACGCCAAGTTAGGAAACACCCTGTATATAATAGAATATAAATCCCAAATCCAAAGTACTTAATTAATTTAACATATTTACAATGGATCAGATCACTTTCGATTCCTGCTAAACTCAGAATTTGATAATAAACTTATCTCAGTCGCAAATGGAACGATTCTCGCGTAGATTGGATTTTTTTTAAATTAGTATAAATGCGGCTTTAGCAAACAGTGATATTTCTTCCATGGAAAAATTTAATAAATTAGTCTAAACCTTAAATGCCACTGCCAACAATACCATGATTATTGATAAACCTTTTACCACTAGATCCATCCGACCATGCTGGTGGGACACCGAATGTATAGATATGGTTAAAAAATGAAAAGAGGTGCTTAGAAGTTACAAAACTCCATCCAACAACATTGATGCGGCCGCAAAACGGCTGTTAAAACAAAAACAACATGATAGTTGGAAATCGTATATTAATAAATTAAATAAAAGCTCATCTATATCTGAAATCTGGAAAATAATTAAATCTATAAATAAAAATAAAGTAAGCCACAAAATTCCTATTTCTAAAAAAGTCTTTAACCCAAATATTAAATAATTATGCTCCCCTCTATTTTCCCGGTAAATCACCCATAAACTATAATGAATACCTGCAAATTGAAACAAATGACCATTAAATATATCAGAGTTAAATATGTCTGTAAAAAATTCAAAGAACACCTCTCCTGGTTTAGATAAATTTACGTATAAAATGCTATACAACTTACCGGAATCTGTTACTAATTTTAAATATTTTCAATGACTGGTGGCTAAAAGGAAAAATTATAGAAGAACTGAAAAAAGTGGTCATTACTTTAATATATAAAACGGATAAAAATGCAGCATTACCTTCTTCTTATCGTCCAAAATCTCTGATGTACTCAAGACATTTGAGAGAAAGATCAAATTAAGGCTCGAATATCACTTAGAATCCAAAATGTTGCTTCCTCATTCACAGTTTGGTTATAGAAGATGTCAGGGTACTTGCGATATATTATCAGAACTAACCACTGATATACAATTGTCTCTCTCTAGAAACGAATATCTTCTTTGTCTATTTGTTGATTTAAAAGGGGCAAATGACTCGGTCAATTTGGATATATTGTTTAAAGAATTGTTAAGGGCCAGTGTTGATAAAAGGGTAGCGTATAATATAACCGAAATGTTTAACGGGTGCAAAATATGTATCAGAAATCAAAATAACGAGTTATATAGTCCAAGATTAGTATACAACGGTATCCCTCAGGGTTCAATCCTTAGCCTTATTCTTTTTAATGTATATACGTCCAAATTATATAGTAAGTTTAATAATAATATTAAATTAGTCCAATATGCCGCATGATCGCTAACTGCCTCCAGTATTTTTTGCAAAGTGAGCAGCTCATTTCTGAAAAAGAAACTGTGAATAGTTCTACGTATACTGGTTTTGATTGCTTTATAAACTGTGATTTTTGTTTGTCTGCTACTAGTTAATTTTTCCTGTTTTTTTTATTGTTTTTCTTCCCTAAATATTACCCAGAAATTCTATAACTGATTAAATATTGTTATTCACGAACTCATATTTGATAGACTTTCCAACCAAACAATACCACATTCCAGCGATACGTATACCTACGCAATCAAAATGCGGTTTTGATTGGTTTTTAATCACTTTGTGAACCGTATTACAAACCTTGTTTACAACGGAAGACCCTTTATTAGAATTTCTAGGTAAACCGTCCATCCTCCTGCAACAAACACTATCAAACACAGAGAGTGCGTCGACAATTTATTCTCCGTAAAATATCCGATGATGTATCGGTTCCTGTTGACCCATAGGCGGTCATGGGGCGGCTCTTTTTGGGGGCGAACGCCTGCAGAGGCACAACGATGCACATGCACCGGTTGGGTTTAATTAGACCTCAGAACAAGGTGCAATAAAGTTGCTAGCCATGCGCTGATCTACGCATACATGATATTTTTATTAAATAAAGTTGCTACAATCTTGTCTATGCCCGTGTGTATAATAATAGTTACTAACTCTATTTTTAAACAAAGAGGAGCGATTTGAATTTAAGATAATTTTGTAGATTTCTGATTGGTCAGATTGCAGTCAGTTTAACACATTACTTTTTAGCTTATAATTGTTATTGTTGATAGTTCTGACATTTTATATTTTAAGTTTTGTTTATTAATGATTTTTTTTAGCATCTCCTATATCGGATTTGTTGCAAAACAGGAAGAAGTAACAATCTATCAGTGAAGTGAAGATGAACTGGCCTTTGAGAAAATCAAAGCAGCTTTGACCACTGCTTCAGTGTTAAACAATCCTGACTTCACTAAGGATTTTTTCCTGATGACAAACGCTAGCGATATAAGCACTGGTTATGTACTCTTCCAAATAGAAGATGGTTTGGAGCATCCTATCTCATATGGTAGCAATAAATTTAACAACTACCAACGTAAGTACTCTACTACAGAGAAAAAGCTATTACAGTTCTTTTTGGAATAGATTATTTTAGTTATTATTTGAAAGGTCGACAATTTTACCGTTTTTTCTGAGTATTTGTTCTTACTGTGGCTGAATAATACAAAAATCTCCCTTCATGATTGGTGAGGTAGATTCTTCAGTTGTGATAGTACCATTTCAATCTTACATCGAAAAGCTGTAGGTGTGGTCGTCAAAAATGCTTTATCTCAAGTTCAAGACATCAACTTGTTATATCTAATTTTGTTAGAGCATGATGAATGGTATGCAAGTTTGCTAACAGAGGTCGAAACCAATCCATTGACTGGAAAATTGTCGTACCTACTAGAAACCGATTAGAGGTTATTTCTGATCATTCAACAACTTCTCATTTTGGATATCTAAACTTTATTATTGGCCTAACATTAGGTGCAAAGTTTGTGCATCATGTATATCGACAAATTTACCACAAACTGGACTAATGGATTCGTATCGTAATATTAATTTTCTCTTCCAATTTATCTCATGAGATTTACTAGGACCATATCCATAGTCTAAAAAAGGTTAAACGTTAGTTCTTCTAGTTGTTTTACCTGATTTACAAAGCATACCTTAGTTCAGGCCCTTTCTGAGGCCACTGGATCAGCTTTCATTAAATTCTTCGAAAATCATATATTTTTAGTATTTGTTGTAACTTATAAGTCATAAGCTACAGCACTTATATCATTTAGTCATAACGGTAAAAAAATTGGGACGAACATATCTACAACATTTGTCGAGAAATCAATGTCTTAAATCACGAAACCACCTTATATACACTAGCTTTGTTGTTTTTTGTATAAATGTACCGATATCTGAAGATTTCAATAATAAAATATCTAACAACGCTGTAGCGGTATGACCGAAAGACATGCTTCTATCAGTGTTTCCGCTAAACGAACTAGGATCCACATTCGGACATCGGCATATCATGAACTGTATTAAATTATAATGTTTAATAATACCTGTGCGATCTATAGGCCTGGGAGGATTAGTACTTGGATAAAAACATCACCTTCTGATTGCACACTTTATTTTAAACACTACCGGAATGATTTTATATTTTATTACATAGTGCACTTCAAAATTAAATACTTTTTACATTATTTACAGTATTTCTTTAGAAAATTTGTTACTTAAATCATTTTTCAGGTATGAAAATTATATTACATAAAGATGAACGAAGCGTCGCCTTTTTAACGTCGCAAAACGCTGTGATGTGGTGCATGTGGTTTCAGTACCTCTTAGTTTGTTTTTCTTCTAAAGGGGACAGCGATAAAAATCCTGCCCATTAGCTTCATCAAAAATATTTCCTCAAGCAAACAACAAAACAATTTCCAAAAACTTTAAAAGTTTACTGTTTATTATAAGCAACGATTTCGTTGCTTATGTAAAAGTTTATCAGCCTATCCTCCCATCAAAATTATTTTAATTCCATATATTTACCCGTACCGGCAAACTTGGCCATTTAAAATCCCAAAATGCGCAGTAAAGGAAGCAGTAAACCAACGAAGGCTGACTTCCTAGATGAGCTTGACGCCTTATTAACATTTTTATTCCAAAAGTCGTTTCTTGGAACTGCGCCGTAAAACCAAAACTACCCTCTTTCAAGTCTTAAGACTTTCTTATCTTATCAGCCAGTTATGACGTCATCAAATATGGCGACTCGGGTCCGCAGGGAAAGCTTTCCTGTGTCGCTTTTCCTCTTTCTTTGACGAGGAATTTTATTGTGCCTGGTTCGGTGTATGTGTGTGTGTCCCTGTAGGATATAATGGCGAGAGCGGAAAAGGGAAGAACACTGAAATTGAGATTGCTTGTTTGTTTTCTCTCTGGTTTCAAATTGGATTCTTATCGCAAATGACCTGGAAATGAGAGTCGAACGTTTGTTAAAAAGTTTATCGAAATAATATGCATTATAAATAACAGCTAAGAACGGAATTGGAAATTTTGTAGTTTCTAAACTTTTCCAGTTTGTATATGTATAGAATTATATTCGTTGTTTATGTTGTTTGTTCCAGTTACTTATTGATTCAACATACAAATAGAACTAAATTAATGAAAGCAGGTAAACAAAAGTTTAAGAAACCAATAAATCAAAATTATTTGGAAAAACATATATTGTTGGACAGAGAAAAAGTCGGGAAACAAGATATTTTTTTTTTGAAATAAAGAATGTATAATTATTAAATTGATGTAACGTCTGCGTTAAGCGTACCACCACCATCGTTTTAGTAAAAACTCAACCAACACTATTACTCCCACTCGACCATTCACTGTTGGGTTCTAATTAACAGTGCTGTTCCTAAAGTGGCGCAGGGAAACAGTAACAAAGCCTACACAAAACACGAAGCTAATGACCTTAGCAGTCGATGCCGATGACACCCAAATAATAAAAAAAAACACATTACTATTAATTAAACCCTAAGATATAACGCCAATGGTCATTTAGAGTAAGCATTGTTTAATAAAGCATATGGATTTTCATATTCCTCATTGGATAACTATTTCTTGCGGCGTTGGATGGATAAATCCATTCATAAATTATATCGCTGGGGTTTTACAAACGCCATTTGCGTTTTATTGATTTTTAATGGCAACCAAGTTTTTACGTCGCGCACTTAATGTCTTTCCAGACGCATTAAAACTCTACTGTAATCCGCCCTCTAAGAAAACTCTTCTATCCCGTTTTATAACGACTCCGCAATGTTCCTTCTTTTTGTAACAGAATTTCATTAGGAGTTGAATATTTTAACAGCGTTATGAGTGTTTATTCTAGCAATTTTTTTATATCGCCATTTTAAAGTACAGAACATATAAATAATGTGTTTATTTAATTTATTTATTTACACTAAAACGCTAATTTATTGTATTATCTAATTTGTTTATATTTTATATATACTAATTTATATATCACATTTTTTATTCACTAATTTATAAGTGAAGGGGGTTAAAATATTTAAAAAAAAACCTATTTAACAAACAAAACATGATATCAACTTGAAATTTTTACGTAAAATACTTTCATAACGATATTGAACACTCATTGGTGTCCAAGATATGTAAAGCTTCCTAGCTCTGTGTATATATGAGAAAAAAATAGCCTCGAACATTGGCCATCGCCTCCCAGCTCTGATTGTCTGTTTTAAACTGTCGCCTTAATCTGCTCACAGCGATATCTCCACTGGAACTCCCTTACGACGACAAAGTTGGGCTATTTATATAAAAATGTCACCTGTCTCAAATATTCTAGATGCTCTTGATTAGACTAAATTAACTATTGGCACCGCATCCGGTAATTTCTAGAAAATAACGTAGAAAACATCATAACTAGCGTTATGCAAATGACACTAACGTCCTTGTTTTTGATCGAAACCCTGTTTTTGCTTCTTAAATTTTGCAGATCAACTTGGTCGTTATTTCCTCGTGGTTAAAAACGTAATTAATGTAAATGAAACTAAATCTATAGATATTACGTACCCAACGAAGAGAGGAACCTGCTCAAATGTGGGGTTAAATGTGCTGCTACTCTTGCAGCAAACACAAAATGCGAAATACATAGGAATTCATTGATATGGATGATTTCCCTGAAAAAGACACACACTTATTAAGAGAAAACAAGAATGCCAAAAACTTACTCTTACTATATATATAAAGTAATATTAATACATTATGAAATAGAATGGAATAGAAATACTAGTAATATTGCAGTTTAAAGTACCCAGAATTCCTATTTGTATTTTTTATTTATTTTTATTCGGTATACAGACAAAACTAGCCCAATAATAATTTTTGTTTTGTCGTCTTTTAGTTTTTGCTGCAGCTAGAAAAGCATCTTTTTTTGATTTATTTTTAAATTTTAACACTATGGATTTTGGTCTACTTACACCATAGGTCGATGCTCTATAAAAAGAATCGATATCAGCTTCAGTGATAGAGGTGCCGAAGGAATAAAGCGGAGGGAAGAAGCTAACGAGAAACGGAGACAATTTTACAAAACGGGGAAATTTTATTACAAGTTTACTGAAAGTGGGCCTAAATAAAAAAGCTGAGCTTTAAAGAGAAACAATTTTGAAATTTATTGAGTTACTGTAAATACTTAATACTGTTATTTTAAAAATATAATTTTAAAACGAAATATATTTTATTTTCATTGTTCAATGTTGACTTTACCTTATAACAAATAACTTTCCCCTATTTAAATTATTAGCAATATTTGTCATATATTTACTTAAATGTCC